GCAGGAAAAGGGTGAGGTGAACACTAGAGTTCCTGAACCCTTTCCAGTGCTTAAATCCTCTCCATAAAGAGAAATGCCAATTTCAATATTTCTCTGACTGAACGGCCAGCTGAAAATGCAAAGATATTGAACAACAATGAGACATGCATCTATGTGAAGGCTACTAAATTATCAGCTTTACTCTTGGACATAGGGTATATAATTGTGTATAGGAGTATTTTATATTTTTGTGGAAATTTTGCTTCATTAATTACATTTATTTGATTGTCCCAGTAATCCTATGTGTGAAAATCATAAATTTTCTTCATTCTGCAAATAATACTGAGACCAGAAAAGTTAAATGATATGAGATCTGCTTAAGTTTGGTTCCAGAGAGGAAAAGGAATGTGCCCATTGATCAGCTTAGACACACAAAAATTTCTAACTCTTGTCTTTGAGGATGTGTCTGTTTTTTTTTCATCAAGTAGGCACAGTGTGGAATCGACTAACGAAGTGAGTCTTAGTGAGAGATAGTCTAGGTTAGGTTTACCTGTGGGTATGTCTGCAGAAAATTGCCTTGGTTACATTAATTGAACCTAAAAGTCAGTGGTACCATTTCCTAAACTGCATAAAAAGGGGTGAAATTGTTGTGAACACAAACATGCATCATCTCCTCTTTCTCTGTTCTTTATGTGGATTTCCTATGACTAGGTGCTTCAAGTTCCTGCTGCTGTGACTTCTCCATGATGATGAACTGTAACCTGGAATTGTAAGCCAAATAAAGCTAGTCTCCCTTAAATTGTTTTTCCCATGGTAATTTATCACATCAACAGATAATGAAACTAAAGCATCTTCAAAATAAAATCATCTTCATTTAATAGAAGAAACTGAGACAATTACCTTTATAATCATAGATCTGTGTTTATCTATATATATATATAGATAGATAAATATAGATATATAATTTTAGAGGCACAGAAAAAATAAGTAAATACATAGACATAAGACAAAAATATCTAGGAGACATACAGGCCTAAGTTTTAGTCATTATAGTTTACTCCCTGTATGAATCTTGAAAGCTTTGTTAAGAGGTAAGGTTGTTTGGAACTAATCAAACTCTAAAACAAAGTAGATATGAGATGCACTTTGGAATTGAACTCTGAAACATGTGGGATTTGGCTATTATTTATTTGCGGCATCAGCAATTAGCAACTAGGCATCATTCCTCTATCCCATCATTCCCTTTAGCCTCCATGGTCTCCAGACATTTTTTTCCACACTCAATGTAAGAACTTCATGCAGAATTGCTTACCTGAACCTCAGCAATCATATTTCTTTATGTTTATGGAAATAGAAAGAGAGGAGATAAGCTAATTCTGGTCAAATAAATCTAGGCTTAGATCTACTTTTCAATGTACATTTAAGAGAAGGCTGTACTCTTATTTTTTTTATATTTGGAGGCAAAATGAGTCTTCTTTTGGCCATGTAGACATTGAGTGAAAGCTGATAATCAACTAACAGGTAGGTGTTACAGGGGTGGAAGGATGATATGGCAATGTGCTTTAACTCATTAAATAAAAATTCTCTATATTTTTAAGTAATATGAATAATAAATTTGGTTTGATTGTCATTCCAAGTGGCACTGAGAATGTTCCAGCTAGTAGTGACACCCCCAAGGACATCTTCAATTGCCAAACACAGGAAACACTTGGGTGATTTATTGATAAAACACTAAGTGAGTGAAAGAAAAGAAATTCTCAGTTTAGCCGGGCAGTGGTGGCACACGCCTTTAATCCCAGCACTCGGGAGGCAGAGGCAGGCGGATCTCTGTGAGTTTGAGGCCAGGCTGGACCGATAGCCTCCAAAACAACACAGAGAAATCCTGTCTCATAACAACCAAAAAAAAAAAAAGAAATTCTCAGTTTAAACTATGGAGGCCTCACTGACAAAGGACTCAATTTAATCTAAATTCTAGAAATGAGGATAAATAATCAGAAAGACTTAGGTTAGAAATTACTGTTATCATCTCTTCCAAAAGAGACTAAACAATAAAAGTAGTTAATGATACACATGGCTATGTATTAAGGTTCATCAGTATTAAAAGCACCACAATATTACAAAGACATTTTTGTTTCAATCTCTCACTGTTCTCTTTGTAGTAGCTATTTTATCTTTTACTGTCATAGAATGGCTACCAGCAGCTACAAACTATTTTTTCTGTTATAGCAAGTCAAAAGAACACCATTCCTATAGCTCTCTTAAAAGTACAAGGACACTCCTCAGAAGCCCTCATTAGATAGCAGCTCACATATAATTGGCCACCCTCAATTCCTGTGGCTCAAACCTATTCCTGTGACCCTGGAAATTGGATGTGCTAATCGGCTTACATCAGGGGTAGGCTCAGTTTCACTGGAAGCACAGAGGCTAAGTGCGAGCAGAAAAGGGGGCTAAACATGACAACTCGAATAAGGATGCTGTTGCCAACATGATGAGGAATTTGGATGCTGGACAGTGAAAAATTACAAATGTTAACTACAACATCAAATAGCCAAACAATTTCAGCAGATTAGATGTGAATATAAATGACTTGGGCTTGAAATCTACAGGCTATGGGTTTGAGCCAAATTGAATAACTTACAGAGCTCTTCCAAAGAGCAGAGATGATGTGGAATGGCATTCATAAAAAAGTTACACTGGATGAAGAATGGAATGAGGCCCTTGACCCAGGTGGTATAATCACTTCATTGGAGAAGGCTGTTGAAGGCCAAATATCAAGTCAGGAATGATTAACTGTGATGGGTACAGCTCAACAGGCAATAAAACTATAAACAGCAGAGCCAGAATACATCCAGGAATGGTGATTTTTGTGACATTGAACATTTTGTTTTAAATGAATATGTATGTGCTACAGGAGCCACATTATCCAAGAAAACATGGCATTTGATATCATGAAACATGCAAAACTATGTATCACTTGATATTTCCAGTTGTCCCAATAATGTATTGATTTAACAAGTATTTGTGCCTTTTTGTTAAGAAGTATATGGTTCCCCACAACTTATAGATGGAGACCCATGGAATGAGTTTTTATTGTCCTTATGACAATATCTATTCATTTGTTTCAAAGGCTGTTGTGGAGTAAGAACATTTATTCCAAAGGATCCTTATTTCACACAGTCTCTGGATAAGCTAAACAGAATTTAAATGAAAGATGTAATAAACTGTCAAGGTGGACAGGATCTTGATAACTTGGGTTGACAAGGAAGCAAGCATTCCAATTCAACAGTCTACAAGAATTCTAACAATTTCCTGCAAGCCTAAGCTCTCAGTACACCTTGAACAATTATTTCAACATAGTTATGGAGATTTTCTAAAAAGTTGTATCATTTGCTAAAGATAGGAAACATTTGTTTGGTCAAGTGAAGGTTACTGAGTAGTGAGGAATGAAACAGAATATGCTGATGTGGTTCCAAACATCAGCACTGTAAAGTACCCCTCCAAAGAGTTGCCTTCTGGGTTTCTAAACTGGATTAGCACCCATACACAACTTTCCCCACTCTTACAAATGATCAGGTTCTGACAAGCTGTGTCATAAATTCGTTTCTTCTCATATTCTCTATTGCTTAACAAAATGCTATATTGAGAGACAAGTTTATAATGGATGTAAATTCCCAGAGTAAATTGATTCCCTTTGTTTTTTTCTGTATATTCTCCCAGGATTAGGCTCATGCAATCTAAAGTCATAATGTGAGAATTCATTTGACTTCATAATAATATCACTGGTAAGTTATGATTAATTTCATGACTCCACATAACTTTTTTCCATAAGATGCTAATAAAACTAAAATGGTCTTTTGTCACTTGGAGTTTTAAATGTTTTACACATGTAAATCTCAACTGCTTGGCAAGGCTTCAATTAAAACAAATACAGCTAACCCAATTGTGAAATGTTTACTTTTCAATCCCTAGTCAAAAACATTTGTTTAATCATTCTTCATTTGAAAACTAGTTGAACATGTGTAGGTTTACATGCGATTCTATTAGTGCATTGGCTTACTTTGGAGATTTTGTTAATGATAAAGTAAATCTAGCCTATACTAGCTAAAGTAATCTTTAAATTTACCTTCCATATCTATCAAATTAGTGAACAGATGAATGGGAAGAAATGAAGGTGGGATGCCTATCAACAAGTCTCCAATATCTGCTACTCTCATTCCCTCTTCCTTACCTTCTTCCCTGTACCTGTCTTGTCTTTCATGTAAGACTTATTCATTCAAGCCTTCTGATCTGATAAGAATCGATTCTAGGAAGTCCATAGATCTATGCTTATCTATGCAACCTGCCAATCAAAAGGTAACTCCTTTTATTACCATTTCCACTGTAAAAATCCTACCATGTTATATATCATTGCTTAAAACACCTACAGATTAAGTAGATATATGAGAAATATTTGGGCAAAAATCACAAACTAAATTCTTTGTCCCAAAGTCCTGGGATCTTCCAAATAAATAAGAAGGACAACCAAAATTTATCATTGACTTCATGAGAATTAAAATGCAGGACTCTAAATAAAATGTTCAACAGGAAACTACAATTTAATTATAGTTGGGGTAAGCATTCGTAAGAAATAGTAAAAGAGATTGAAATACATTTAAAATAGACAGAAAAAGATCCTTTCAAGGAGGTGATACCTACAATGGCATCCAAAGTGTAGGAGTTAGTGAAATGAAGGATATAAGAGGTTCCCAGGCAATGGGGAAAGGGAGAAAAATGGAAAGCATAAGCATAAATAAATCCCTGAAATTAGCCTAGAAACAAAATTAGAAGGTTAAAATATCAAAAGATATCTTATACAACCATTAATGAGAGTCTTTTTAATTTCTAGATCATGTGATACGTACTTCTTCATCCTTATCGATGTAGTTTCGTAATGAAATTAGACAAAAAGAACATGAACAAAGTGTCTTTGTCACTGTTTGGTAGACAACCTCAAACAAATGGTCATTTCTCTGTTTTCCCACCTGTTTGTGTAGGCTACTGGGTCAGACTGAGTTGTCATCTCTAATAGTGTCTGTCTCAAGGCATTGGCTGGTTCTGAGGCCAGTAAAGCGACTCACTGGAAAAGAACACACAAAGGTGTTAAAGCTTACTCTATGGAATGCTTTCTGATAAAAGGCACTAGACTCTCACAAGGTGATTAAGGGTAAGTGAGAATACAATGAAATGGGGTGATGGGGTAACAAAATATTGCCAAGACAAGATCTTCTGAAGCTATGGCCTTTCTTAGCCATTCTGGTTGACATTGAGACCCCTGAACCACTGCTCAGCAAACAGTAACAAACAGCTGCCTCTAAGGCAGCCAATGCAGAAGACTGTGTAGTTTAGTTTTGCTGACAATGATCTACTAGAATGTTGCCAAAGGTGTTTGTTCAATGGAATAAAAGCTAAGCTTAGAAACACTAACCACCAGGGCTTTTCATTTCTAAGATACAGGCCAAAATATCTGCTAAATAGTACTTTAGCATTGGAAACCCATTAATGGAAACTATTTGTTTCTGGTGAAAATAACTGCATCTACCACAGATTGTAAATATAACATCATTTCTTCCCTTACCTTATACAATTGGGACCATCAAGCAAAAGGTCTTCCCTCCAGGAAGGCTGATCTGCCTAAAACCATGATAAAGAAAGAGGAGGACTAATTATTCCCTTGAAGAGTTAACATACTTTTCCATTCCAGAATTCCTATGCTTTGGGCATTCAGTCCATATTCATGTAGGTATATTAAGTCTGTCTACTTTTGTGAGTCCTTTCTCAAAATCACACAATTTTCCATTTTTATTCTTTTCCTTACATTTTCCTTCTTTTCGATACTTTTCCAAAGCTTGTAATGGCTTCCAGGACAGTCTGGACTTTCTCTAAGTAAACTCCTGGCATCCAAAGGACCTGCCCACACAGGAAAGGCATCAACCCTTCCAGACCCCAACCTCCAGAGATCCCAGTTTCAGGTGAGCTTGGGTCTCCCTGGGTCCACTCCCCACCCCCTGCCCATCACCCATCCCCTCAATCTTCCAGGGCCCACTCCTGGCATCCAGAATTTCTGCCCACACAGGAAAAACATCAGTCTTTCCAGACCCCAACCTCCTGTGACCCCAGCTTCAGGTGAGCTTGGGTCTCCCTGAGGTCACTCCCCACTCCCCCACCCATTACCCATCCCCTCAATCTTCTAGGGGCTTGCTCCTGGCATCCAGAAGACCTGCACACAAAGTAAAGGCATCAGCCCTTCCAGGCCCCACCCACTGGCATCCCCAGCTTCAGAGGATCCGCCCACACAGGAAAGACACCAGTCCTTCTAGACCCAACCTCCAGAGTCCCCAGCTTCAGACCCCACCCTCCAGCATCCTCAGCTTCAGCTTCAGGAAAGAAGGAAACCAGTGGAGACAGAAAGACGCCACCTGCACCCACTGGAAGAAGAGATGGGAAGAAGACAGAATAAGAGCTTACTTACTCAGCAATACAAAGACCAACATGACTCCACCAGAATCTAGAGACCCAATGCCAGCAAGACATGAAAAGCACTACATAGATGAAGCAGAAGGACAGACCTTAAAAATTATTTTATGAAGATGATAGAGACCCTCAAAGAGGAAATGAGGAAATCCCTTAAGGAAAAAAGAAAAACAAAAAAATACGTGAAATGGGGAAAAGGTGAACCAAGATTTTCAAGAAATAAACAGATCTCTCAACAAATCTAAAGAGTACCAAGAAAAGACAACTAAACAAATGAAGGAAACAACTCAAACAGTTGAAGGATTGAAAGCTGAAATAGAAACAACAAAGAAAACACAGAATGAGGGGATGCTGGAAATAAAAAAGCTGTGTAAATGATCAGGAACTACAGATGCAAGTATCACCAATAGAATACAAGAGATAGAAGAGAGATATATAGTTGTCAACTAAAGGAAATCTCAAAACCAACAAATCCCTAACACAAAATATGCAGGAAATAAGGGACACCATGAAGAATCCAAACCTGAGAACAATAGGTATAAAAAAGGCAAATAAATACAGCTCATAGATACAGAAAACATATTCAACAAAATCATAGAAGAAACTTCCCTAACCTAAAGAAGGATATGCCTATGAAAATACAAGAATCTTACAGAACACCAAATAGACTGGACCAGAAAAAGAAGTCACCTAGCCACATAATAATCAAAACTTCGTAACTACAGAATAAAAACAAAATATTAAGAGCAGCTAAAGAAAAAGACCAAGTAACATATAAAGGCAGACCTATCCAAATTACACATGACTTCTCAATGGAAACTATGAAAGCCAGAAGATCCTGGACAGATGTCCTACAAACGCTAAGGGAACAAGGATACCAACCCAGACTACTATATCCAGCAAAGCATTCAATTACCTTAGATGGAGAAAACAAAATATTACATGACAAAACCATATTTAAACAATATGTATCCATTAATCCAGCTCTATAGAAAGTGCTGGAAGGAAAACCTAGACCCAACGATGATAACTATACTCACAAAGACACAGGCAATAGATAATCTCACTTTACCAAACACCAAAAGAAAAAGGGAGGAGAACCTACACACAATAATTCCACTACCAACAAAGCAAGCACAAACAAGAATCATTAAACAATGGTAATTAATATCCTTCAATGTCAACGGTCTCAACTTGCCTATGAAAAGACACAGTCTAGCAGAATGGATATGAACACAGAGCCCATCCCTCTGCTGCAAACAAGAAACACATCTCAATGTCAAAGATAGACGTTACCTCAGTGTAAAGGGATGGGAAAAGATTTTCCAATCAAATGGACCCAAGAAACAAGCAGGTGTAACAATCCTAATATCTAACTGATCTCCAACATTTGCAAAGAACTCATGAAGCAAGTCTCTAAAGCACCAAAGGATCCAATTAAAAAATGGGCTACAGAACTAAATAGAGAATTCTCAATAGGGGAGTCTAAAATGGCTGAGAGATATTGGAGAAAGTGCTCAACATCCTTAGCCATAAGGGAAATGCAAATCAAAACAACTCTGAGATACTATCTTACTCTGGTCAGAATGGCTAAAATCAAAAACACCAAAGACAATTTATGCTGGAGAGGATGTGGAAAGAGGGGAACACTCCTCCACTGCTGGTGAGAGTGCCGATTCATACACCCACCTTGGAAATCAGTATAGAGATTCCTCAGGAAAATGGGAATCAATCTACCACAAGACCCAGCAATTCCACTCTTAGGCATATATCCAAAAGATGCCCATTCATACAACAAGGATGTCTGTACCACTATGTTCATAGCAGCATTATTTGTAATAGCCAGAACCTGGAAGCAACCTAGATGTCCCTCAACTGAAGAGTGGATAGAGAAAATGTGGTACGTTTACACAATGGAGTACTACTCAGCAGAAAAAAAAACAATGGAATATTGAAATCCGCAGGTAAATGGATGGCACTAGAAGAAACCATCCTGAGTGAGGTAACCAAGTCACAAAAAGACAAACAAGGTAGGTACTCACTCATATATGGATTTAGACATGGATCAGGATAGTGCCAGTCTGCACTTCCACTGACAGTCTGGGAAATGGGAAAGGACCTAAGAGAGATATGTATGGTACTCTGGAGAAGAGGAATGAAGCAAGATCTTCTGAACAGATTAGGTACACGGCGAGGAGTAGGGGGTAGTGGTAGCTCAAGAAGAATGGGGGAGAAGAGGAAGAGAGAGTAGGTCATGGGAGAACAGGAAGGTTGAGTGGGGGGGTAGAAAGGGGGAACAGGATTAGAAATTAGGTTAGAAGACAGATCTGGCACCAGTGAGACCTCTAGTGATCTAAAGGGATGACACCAACTGGCAAGCTAAGCAATAGTGGAGAGACTACCCTAAATGCCCATTCCTGATAATGAACTTGACATCTACACTATATGCTATCCTAGACCCTTCATCCAGTGACTGATGGAAGCAGAGGCAAATATCCACAGTTAAACACTGAACTGAACCCATGGAACCTAGTGACAGAGAGAGAGGAGCGATGAACAAATTGGCAAAGAATGGGCTGGCCAACCTAGCAGAGACAGCTGATCTGAACAAGGGGGAGCACTTGGACTCCAGACCGACAGCTGGGAGGCCAGCATGGGACTGTACCAGACCCCCCTGAGTGTGAGAGTCAGTGAGGAGGCCTGGCAACCTATGGGGCCCTGGGCAGTAGATCAGTGTTTATCCCTGGCATACGAACGGATTTCGTGTGTCCATAACACAAAGAGGGATGCTCTCTCAGCCTGGACTCTTAGGGGAGTGTCTGGACATTGCCCTGAGTCAAATGACAGACTCTGGGTATCCTCTATGTGGAAGTAAGCGGGGATAGGGTGGGAAGATGGGGGGATAGTGGGGGTTTGCGGGAGGAGGAGAGGGAGAGGGAACTGGGATTGACATGTTAAGCAAGGTATTTAAAATTAAAGCAATAAAAATAAATAAATTATAAAAAGAAAAAACCTAAAAATGAACATGAAGATGGTTCCCCAATCTCTCCAGCAACATGTAGCACCCAGGTTTTTGATAATATGAATACATAAGCAACAATACTGTGCTCTGGATAGAAGAACTGCCCAAAATTACCCATGATACATGCACTACCTTTGGTACAGTGCTAGATGAAGAAAGCCCTTTCCATTACTGAGAAACACACTGATAACACATCTCACTTAATACCATTCAAAAATCTAATTCTTATCCCATATTGGTATAGTAGAAATGTTCTAATCACGAAAACATAAAGAAAGCACCAGACTTCATGGGGCTCAAAGAAATACTATGAATGTAATAGCATTACTGATAAATAATATAACATCCACAGCCTTCAGAAATGAAATTTGGAAGCCTAATGTGGTAACATGCAACAAGCAAAGTGAAAGGAGCGACAAAGTGATCCAACTTTTGACATATTAGAGCTGGAGTTATGGCTCGGTGTATAAGAACACTTTCTGCTCTTGCAGAAGACCTGATTCCATTTCAACATGCACGTGGTGGGTCACAGTCATAAATACATAAGTTCCAAGAGCTCCAAACCTATATTCTGGCATCCATGCATGTGGTGCACTTCTGTACATTTAGGCAAAACACTTGTACACATAAAATGAAAATGAATAAATCTTTAGAAAATTTTCTGTGTTATTGGTAGACTTAAACCTGAGATGTCAATATTTATCTTTGCAAAAGAAGATACTGAAGGTGAATCTAATCTCTGCTCTTCAGAGACAGTTGCTGTAAATACTATTTATTCCATTATAAGCTTTCTGGGTAGGAACATACACAGACTAATGTGGCTGTTCAATGCAATGAAAATGGTCATCAGGATGCATTTTTAATCCAAATAGATCTCTTGTGAAATTATTTGCCGGAGACGTGGTCTAATGACTCAAACTAAAACAGAACATGTAGCTAATTTTGAAATCAAGAAAGAACACGGAGTTTCCAAGCATCTTTGCTCAGTGCTATTTCCTTATGTAAGTAACCTGTTAATGGCTACAATTTGGTATGTTTGTCCTTTTGGCTTTTCACTGTAAAGGAAAGATAAAATTTTCATGTGTGTAATACCTATATTCTATTCTTTTTGCCTCTTTTTAAATTTAAGTTAGAAACAAGCTTGTCAAT